TGCGCACCGGCACCCGCCGCCCAGCTGCTCAGGATGACATCAAGTCACCTCCCCCCGCCCGGCCCGCACCTCCCCGAGGGCTGGGGGGGGGTTGGGGGGGGGGGCGCTGCGTCAGGAAATTCCCGGGGCCGCTGGGAAATGTAGTCCCCGCACGGCTTAAAGGGTCCTGCTAGACCAGGGGTAACCCCTGCAGGAGCCTGGGGTCAAAGCTTAAGCAGAATGGGATGGGGTCCAACTGGGGCTAGGCTCCTGCGTTCTAGGAAGGAGACTGCACCAGAAGAGAGGACTCAGGAGTCTGATCCAGGAAGCTGGGAGTGATGCCAGAACCCTGGCAGGAAAGAGGCCCAATCCTACACCAGGCCCAAAGATTTGACCTGCTTCATCTGTGCCCCAGGCATTCCACCCACTGGGGAATCCCACCCTCACCCCGGAATGGCCGGACACCAGAACCCACTTGGAAACGGGCACGGAACTGGTTAATATTCTGCAGTGAGCCAGTGCCTGCTGGGAGAGGTGTGGTGTACCCAAGACTGCTGGGAAATGCAGTCCGCCCTCAGGCCTGCAGTCCCCCTCCCATCCCTTGCTGTCTATGGTGACATCATGGTCTGGGGTTTAAAGGGCCAGCCTTGGAATGGCAAAGCATCCAAGTAGGAGGTGCTCCCTTGCACTGCCATCCCAGGCAAGCAGGCCTCCCTGGACAGATCCTTAGCCCCTTCTGGGCCCAAAGATGTGATAGTGGGGTCTCTTGTTAAAACTCTACTGCAGAGCATCCAAGGTACAGGTGGGATTCCAGGAGTTTGGTGTTCTGGACAAATGTTCCCAGCCCACAGTCTTGGGCCTCCTTCTAAGGACCCTGGACCCCAATATCCTTTATATCTCTTAACTCCATCCCCTACACTACACTGTGAAATCTTCATCCAGAAGTTTTGCCAGGATGAACAACTAACCGGTTCATGCAAGCAGAAGAAAAAGGCAAAGAGGCTTGGACACTGAGGCCATTTTCAGAGTCTTCTTACCCTGCCTTATGCCTTGGTGACCAGCCATCTTCCCTGAGAGGTGCTCACCTACTGGAGCAACAGAAAGCAAAGGCCATAGTTTAGCCAGGCGGGGTTCAGGGCTCTATGACTGAAGAGGTGGCCAGCAGCCCCCTGCTTGGAAGTCTTCAGCAGGCTTTGTCCACCTGGCCCTTGGTGTCCTTAACTGTCAAATGAAAACCCATAAATTTTCTCCTTGCCTACCTCCCAGGCTCAGAAAGTGAAGCCTGTCCCACATCCCTGCAGATAAAAGCTGGGGGACAGCAGGCCCACAGAACCACCTCCGGCCAGATGAGGACCCACCCCCCTCCCCAGCCCAGACAAGAGAAGGGCTTTGCCCAAGGTCACAAAGCTAGGACCACAGACCTCCCAGCCTGAATCAGGAGGACACCAGCTCCAGCCTCCCCCCACCCCAGCTCCCTGGGGGCTAGTGCCCTGAACTCTGAGGATCTCCAGGCCAGAATGAGTGTGGAGAGGTCACGTTTTATGGAAAGGGTGTGCTCCATTTGAGGATTTGGGGGTCTGAATGGTGGAAGACATAAGACTTCTTATAAGAAGTGGCATTTGAACTAGATCTCAAAATAGATACAATGTCACCTGGGGGAGGGGGTATTGGATAAATATTCTTTTTAAAAATCATCATTATTGAGATATCATTCACATACTATACAGTTCACCGATTTTTGCACTGGCATTTAATGAGTACAGAGTTGCGGTTTTTCAAGATGAAAAAGTTCTGGGGGCGCCTGGGTGGCTCAGTGGGTTAAGCCTCTGCCTTCAGCTCAGGTCATGATCCCAGGGTCCTGGGATTGAGCCCCGCATCGGGCTCTCTGCTCAGCAGGGAGCCTGCTTCCTCCTCTGTCTCTGCCTGCCTCTCTGCCTACTTGTGATCTCTGTCTGTCAAATAAATAAATAAAATCTTTAAAAAAAGAAAGAGAAAAAGTTGTGGATATTGGTTGCAACAACAATGTGAATATCCCCAACACTACTGAATTGTACACTTAGAAATGGTTAAGATAGTAGAATTTGTTATGTGTATTTTACCACAATTTAGACAAAATGCAAAATCTAGGTCTTCCATCACGGACCAAGTCAAAAGCCACAGCCCACAGACTACCTTCCATGATCCCTTCCATAGCTATCCAGAGGCCACTGAGGGAATTCCCAGAGGGGCTTCTTCTAAGCCGACCATCCCTGGAAAAGGGAGAGCCTCCCCCCAGGGCCCTGGAGGCCTTCAGCAACCAATTCACCTGTTGAGTTTCTTTCTTTCTTTCTTTTTTTAAAAATTTTATTTATTTAGGGCGCCTGGGTGGCTCAGTGGGTTAAGCCGCTGCCTTCGGCTCAGGTTATGATCTCAGGGTCCTGGGATCGAGTCCCGCATCGGGCTCTCTGCTCAGCGGGGAGCCTGCTTCCCTCCCTCTCTCTGCCTGCCTCTCTGCCTACTTGTGATCTCTGTCTGTCAAATAAATAAATAAAATCTTTTAAAAAAATTATTTATTTATTTATTTGACAGACAGAGATCACAAGTAGGCAGAGAAGCAGGCAGAGAGAGAGGAGGAAGCAGGCTCCCTGCTGAGCAGAGAGCCCAACTCGGGGCTTGATCCCAGGACCCTGAGATCATGAGATCATGAGCTGAGCGGAAGGCAGAGGCTTAACCCACTGAGCCACCCAGGTGCCCCACCTGTTGAGTTTCTACCTAAACTAATATGGAGAGGCCCCCAAGGAGCCCCATAAACCCTGACCCTCCCCCCTTTTATCTCTATGGAGAGGAAACATGGCCTGGGTCTTCACCCCAGAAATACCCCTGGGGGGTCCCCCACCACCTTCCCTCCTGAGAACATACCATTCTCTTTACTCTGTATTTCTTATTCTCCCTTTCAGCTCCTACTCCAGTGCCCCAGCCAGATTCTGGAACTACTATGTCTTTGGAGCTGGTCTTCTGTAGATCTCATGGTACACTGGGGAAGGCAGCAGGAAAGACTTTTGTGCCCCTCTGAGTTCTGTTTATCCCTCTGCTGTGGTGCAGACACTGCGCTATGTCACAGATGTGGGTACAGCCTCACTGGAAGGAAGCTGGCCCATGAAGCAGCCACGCCAGATCAGGGGCCTGGGTACTGGGAATGGCTCTGTGTTCCCAAGCCTTGTACATGATGCACCCCATTCTCACAGCAGGGTAATGACCGCCTCTCTTAGTTTGGACATCAGGACAACTTTCCCTAGACTCCAGAATATACCCTTCCATCCCCACTGCCTTTGGGAGAAGTGATGTTTGTTCATTCACTTGCTCCATAGGCTCTTAGACACATGGCCTCAGTTTTCCTCTCCTGTAAAATGGGGATTTTAATAGTACCTCTCTCCAAGGGTGTGCTGAAGAGCAAATGAAGTAATGTCTAGAAAGTGACAAGGCCGTGGCCCAGGACATCACACAGGCTCCATTCATGGTGTCTATCACTTTAATTATTACGAACTTAATACATGTGTTATGAATACAACACTGCCCCTGGCCTGTCATGGGGAAAGGCTGATCTTTTGATTCATTCCACAAGCATTTTCCTGTTAGCCTGCCTCCTTGAATGGAACCTTCCCAGTGCTTCCCCGAATTCTCTTTGAGGTTATTCCTTAGTCCCTTCCAAGAAAATGAGCTATACCACCTACTAACCCAACCCCAGGTGACAAGGGGATAAAACAGGCTCCTGGAGGAACAGTGACTTGCCTGAGGCCACACAGGACTGGAAACCAGGTCCCTGCCCTCAGGCCAGGGCAGTTGCCCTTGCTTCAGGCTGACTTCCAGCATTAGACTGCAGTAGAGTCTACCTCCCTAGCAAGGCTAAAATAGGATTATAATTACCTGTGGGTATCCTTTAAGTCACCCATGATGTAAGAGGGCTTGGGTGACCAACCCTGTTGAGCAGGAGTTGGCAAACTTTCTGTAAATGGCCAGAAAATAATTATCTGAGGCTTTGCAACATCCCCCCTCCACCTTGCACCAAGTGCTCAGCTCTGCTGCGGGACCCAGACAGTACTTAATCGAGTGTGTGTAGCTGCGTTCCACTGAAACTTTATGGATACTCACGTGTGAATTTCAGGATATTTTCAAGTGTTACGAAATCCTATTTTTTTAACTACTTAAAAATGTAAAAAAATTTTAAATAAATAAAAATTGTACAAAACCAATAGAACCCTGCTCAAGGGGCTTAGAATCCATTCGTTATTAATTTTAGGTTAGAGATAAGAAAAAATATTGTTTTTTTCAGAGGAGCTGGATGCCTGACCAAATGCAGAAGAGAAAGGAGGCTGGGTAAATCTCCTGATCGGCATTCCAGGTGAGGACTGGTGAAAAAAGATTTCCTTGGCGATGAACTTACAGCAACCTTTGTAAACTTGCTTTCTTATCTCTAAGATGGTTTTCTTATCTGTAAAACCGCCACCTTAGAGGATGGTAAGGATTGAATGCAATAAAAGTTGGAAAGCGTTTTGTAAAATGCAAATGCTTACTCACTTAATTGTTTCTAGGACGCGTGCTGGAGGAGTTTTCACACACTCATTCCCCCGGGAAGCTTGCTATTAAATTTGATGAGACTCTGTCCCTTTAAATACTCCCCAACTACCTCAAGGAGGTAGACGAGTCGGCACATGCGCACTCCTCTACGAGGCTGGCACCTCAAGCCCCAGCCTTCCCAGAGCCCGTAGAAGGGAGGCTAAAGGTCCTCCCACACAGAATTTTTACGCAGGCGTAAATCAAGCTTGGGAGCACTATATCACGCAGAGAGCCCAGTCCCTTTTTCGTGCTCGAAGACTCCGCCCCCCACGGCCAATCAGTAGACCTCGCCCTTTACAACGGCGAATGGCAGTGAGCGTGGGGGGCGTGGCTGAGGGTCCGGGGGCGCGGCCTGGCGCTGAGAGAAGCGGCGGGGCAGCCGGGGGCTCTAGTGAACTGCGAAGCCGGACAGGGATCGCCGGCGGTCGGCGAGCAGAGGCGGCCTGGGCCCGGCGGTCTCCGAGATGTCACGATGGCTGTGGCCATGGTCAAACTGTGTGAAAGAGCGGGTATGCCGCTACTTGCTGCACCACTACTTGGGTCACTTCTTCCAGGAGCACCTCAGCCTGGATCAGCTCAGCCTCGATTTGTACAAGGGCAGCGTTGCCTTGCGGGATATCCACCTGGAGATCTGGGTGAGGAACGAGGCCCGAGATCGGGAAGCCGGGGCGGTGCGCAGAGACCTGAGGATCCTGGCTAAAGGGTCAGGCTGGGGACCGGGCAGAGGGCGTGGAGAGGCCGTGAGAGTCAGGCCCTTTCCAGGCGACGGATCGGCTTCAGAGCCAGAAGCTGGGTGGGAAGGGGGTCCCTGCCTCCACTTCACCGTAGAAGAAAGTGAGGCTGAGGAGGGGGGTGTCACTTGTCTGGGGAATGCCAGAATAAGCACATCGAGTTTGGGGCCCGAGTTGAGAACTGTGGTCCTCAGAGGCTCAGGAAGGCGAAGGAACTAGGGGGCTCTGACAGGACGGGGCCAGGGCGGTGACAGAGTTGGGGCCGTGCAGCTAGTCGGTCAGGCAAGGCTGGTGGGGGTCTGGAGTCCTGCTGGGAGCACCTGTAGGAAAGGTGCTCTGACCTCCTGACCCTCCGATCCTGGGCCAAGTGGGCGGCGTCCGCCTCAGGATGTGGATGTCAACAACCGCGTCAGCACCCGTGTTGATCAACACCTCGTGTGATTGCTGCGGCTGCCTACTTCCTGCTTTGGGGAGAGTGGGATGGACCCAGTGGTGTTTGGGGAGGGGCTTGGGAATCAGCCTCCCTACCTGCCAGCAAGCCCCTGAGGAAGGGTGGAGAGAGGTTCGTTTTCAGGTGGGGAGGAGGCCTAGGGAGATGCTGAGGAGGCAGGGAGGAAGGAGGTCTGGGTCAGAAGCCTGAGGTTGGGGGCGGTGAGGGGCAGTGACTCACAACTCAGCCAAACTGGGAAGTTGCAAAGGAGCCACCAGTTAGAGGTGTCAGGCCAAGGCTGGCACTGGGTCATCCCCGCCCCCCAACTCCAGAACAGCAGGGGTGGGCATGGGGTCGGGGCGTCTCAGCGAAATTTCTGTCTGGGCAGACAGGGTTCTCGGCCTAAATGCAGTCTGGGACAGGAAGAGCTGAGCTTCAGGGGTAGGCCAGGACTTGCTGAGCAAATGTAGGGGCAGAGGGAGACAGCCAAGCCCAGAGTTGGGGACACCTCCTGATAACCTCTTGTCTGCGAATCCTAGTGAAGGCCTTCTCTGACCTCTGACTTTTAGGCTGGGCTGCCTCTTTCTAGTTCCAGTTCCAGAAAACACTCCCACCCTGCCCTGCCCTGCCCTGCCCTCTTGGTGGGGATTGAAATGGCTCCCAGCTAGACTGCTTTCTGGGCTGGCCTCCAGAGAGGAGGGCCCCCCCGTCCCCCCTCCCCCGCCGTGGAAAGCAGGTCCTTTCAGAGCCAGCCCCCCCTCCCAGCCGCTCAGCCTGCAACCCCCGCCAGGAAGACCCCAGAAGAAGCCGAGTGCCTGGGGAGCCTGGGATGGGGTGAGGAGAGAGACCTGTCTTCCTAGTTGCAGTCCTCACAGTACACTGAGTGATTAAACTAGTTCCTTCTCTCTAGGCCTCAGTTCCCATCTGTGGATCTCTGGGTAAGGAGTTTCAACTTGACCTCTGTAAGCCTTCTAGTTCTGCCATGTGTTTGTTGATTCTTGGATCCAACAAGTGTTTACTGGGAACTTCTCTGGGTGGTACCATACAGCACCTGGGATCACACGGAGCCGGCAGGTGGCTTCCTGCCTTCATGGAGCTCCTGGATGGCGGTGGTGCTCTTTCCCCATTGGTAACCAGGGGCTCTCAGCCTTGTATCTCAGAGAGGTACAGCTGCACCAAGTGTTCGGAGTTGGGGGGCGGGGGTCACCTCTGGCTCAGTTCAGTCCTCTGCCAGCCTCCCCTTGAACTCCGTACTTGCCCAGAGAGAACATGGGTGCTGCACTCTGCTGGGCCTTTCCACATGCTGTTCCTATGCCTGGAGCATGCTACCTTCCATCCTCTCTGCCTGGCTTCCTCCTTCTCATGTTTCAGCTGCCCCTTCCTCTGGCTTAAAGGATGAAACACGTTTGGATGAACCAAGAGTAGGAACCAGCTAAAGCAGTGGCAGAACTCTGTAGTAGCCCACGGTGGCGGCCAGGAGAACCAGGGAGCTCTCCAGGGTCAGGGCAGACCAACAAGGAGTGTGGCAGCCAAGGAGACAGCCACATTTGGGGTTTCCCTGAGCCGGCTCTGTCTCTTCCCCGTTCCTAGTCCGTGAACGAAGTGCTGGAGTCCATCGAGTCACCCTTGGAGCTGGTGGAAGGCTTCGTGGGCTCTATCGAGGTGGCCGTGCCCTGGGCTGCGCTGCTCACCGACCACTGCACTGTGCACGTGTCAGGCCTCCAGCTCACCCTGCAGCCTCGCCAGGGCCCTGGTGAGGGCAGGGCAAGGCTGGGGCTGCGGGCGTGGGGAGCCCGGTGGTAGGAGTAGACCTCCCCTTTCTGATAGCCTCTTCCTCCTCGCAGGGCCGGGGGCTGCTGACTCGCAGAGCTGGGCCTCGTGCATGACCACGAGCCTGCAGCTGGCTCAGGAGTGCCTCCGGGATGGGCTCCCCGAGCCCTCTGAGCCACCACAGCCCCTGGAGGGCCTGGAAATGTTTGCCCAGACCATTGAGACTGGTAAGTGGGCCTCTCGTGGTATCCTGCTGTCTGCCCCTCCGCAGCCCACAAGACGGAGGGCCCAGACAGCAAGATGGCCACACGGCCGCCCCAGCCGGGAAACTCTGCCTACCTCTTGCTGTCCCAACTGGCCAGAGACCCCTTTCCACCCCTCAGTGCTGCGCAGGATCAAGGTGACCTTCCTGGACACTGTGGTGAGGGTTGAGCACTCGCCGGGTGATGGGGAGCATGGCGTGGCAGTAGAAGTCCATGTACAGAGGTAGGGGCGTGCCCCGAGGGGGTGGGCTAGGGTGCAGACAAGGGGTAGTGAGGGGCTGCTGAACAGTATGGGCCCTGCCCCTGCCCCTCTCCCCAGCTTGGGCTCCCGGGAAGCAGCATGGCAAAGCTTGGGTGGGACTGGGTGGTGGCCATGGTGGGAGGGAAACCATATTGCAAGCCCGGAGTGGTGTCCAGGGGCCAAGGGGTACCAGCGGTCCAGGGTGGCTGGGGTTCCCGAGGATCAGGTTACACACGGAGGGTCTGAAGAGCCAGGGCTGGCCCTGGAGGTCCAGTATGGTCGGGCTGTGATGGGCCAGCTCTGTCGGCCAGCCTCTCTGGCCGCAGACCCCTAGAACAGAATACTGCGTGGGGAGAGGGGCTCCAGCCTGCGGTGGCTGGGGCGAGGGCTGATCCTACACTCGCCAGACTGGAGTACTGTGATGAGGCAGTGCGGGACCCAAGCCAGGCACCGCCGGTGGACGTGCACCAGCCTCCCGCCTTCCTGCACAAGCTGCTGCAGCTGGCAGGAGTCCGCCTGCGCTTCGAGGAGCTCCCCGCGCAGGTGGGCTGACCCGGATCCCCGCCACTCTCTTCTCCTCATCCCCAGCTTCTCTCCTGTCTGCCTGCCCCACTGGGCCCCATCCCTTCTGAGCATGTCTGACCTCATCTTCTCGATCCCTTCCCTCCTATGCCCTTTTGCCTCCAGGAAGATCCCCCGAAACCCCCCTTGCAGATCGGCAGCTGCTCAGGGTATATGGAATTGACAGTGAAATTGAAGCAGAATGAGGCCTTCCCAGGCCCCAAGGTGGGTCCCCGGCCCCCGTGGAGGAGGGAGTGGGCCCCATCTCAGAATACTCCTTGGCAGTGCCGATCTTCCCCCACGCCCCGTACAAAGCAGGCTCTTTGAGTGGGGGAAGTTACTGCCTTCTTGGCAGTAGGGAAACAGGCTCAGTGGTCAAGTTGCGGCCAGAGTCACACAGCTGCTTGGTGATGGCGCTCAGCCTGGCAACTGGCGTCTTCCCTCCTCTGGGTGAGGGCAGGTGGGCGGCGGCTCTCAGAGGGCCGAGGCGGCAGGTGTAGGCTCCATGGTGGGCCCCTCTGGCCCCTTCTGTCCCCAGCTGGAGGTGGCTGGACAGCTGGGCTCCTTGCACCTGCTCCTGACCCCTCAGCAGCTCCAGCAGCTTCAAGAACTGCTCAGTGCCATGAGCCTCGCAGGTGAGGCCTCTGGGCTCTGCAGAGGTTGGGATGGCTGGGGAGGGGCCGGCTGGGCTGGACCGACACAAGGACGTGTCCTCCTCCGTAGACCCCGGGGGCCTGGTTGACAAGCTGAACAAGAGCCGCCCGCTAGGTGCTGAAGACCTGTGGTTGATCGAGCAGGACCTGAACCAGCAGCTGCAGGCAGGGGCTGTGGCCGAGCCCCTCAGCCCAGAACCCCTCAGCAACCCTCTTGTCAACCTGGACAGTACTGGTCGGTGTGGGGCCAGACCTGGCGGTTGTCGGGGCAGCGGGCCCGGGTGCAGGACTCACAGGGGCCAAGTGTGGCCTTCCCTGACGTCCCCTGCCCTCGCCCACAGACCTCTTCTTCTCCATGGCGGGCCTCACGAGCAGTGTGGCCTCAGCGCTCTCTGAGCTCTCCCTCTCGGATGTAGACCTGGGATCCTCCATGCACAGCGACGTGGCCTCCCGCCGGCTCTCTGCCCATACCCAGCCAACTGGTGAGTGCTCCCGGGGCAAGAGGAGCCAGAGGAGGCCTCAGTGCCCAAGTGATGTCATGTGCCCGCAGGAGGCCCCCACCGATGCTACGGCCCACCATGGGTGACTTGGTTCCCTGGGGATGCTGGGTGGGTGGGGGGAGGCTGGTCCCACAGTGGATAGAGGCCAGGTTTCAAAGTCAGTGATCTGGGGCCAGGCACTTAAATTCTTGGAGACTCAGTTTCCCTTTCCATAAAAAGGTTCTAGTAAGATCTGGCCTTGCCAGGCTGTGGGGTTTGGCCGATGTTTATTGAGAGATTGCGTCTGACAGGTGCGAGTCTGAGGGCTTTATCCCCCTGTTCCTCCAGCTCCTTGAGGGGTTGGAGTGAGCCTAGGTTGGTATCTGGCTAAGGAGGCTCTGGGTTAGCCCCTCCCTGCCAAGCCCCGTGCCAGAGTCACAGTCCATCAGGGCTGGGGCTTCTCCCAGCCCCCAGCCCGGTGTCTGACCAGCCCTCTTCCTGGGGTACCCATGAGCTCTGGGAAGTCCTTGGTGACACCTCTGTCCTCTCAGGCAAGACGGCCCCCACACCCCTCCCGGATACCCTGCGCCCGGACTCGCTGGTGAAGATGACCTTAGGGGGCATGACCCTGACCTTGCTGCAGACGTCTGCCCCATCTTCCGGACCACCTGACCTCACCACCCATTTTTTTTCGGAGTTTGATGCCACCAAAGATGGGCCCTTCGGCTCCCGTGACTTCTACCATCTCCGGCCGCGCTTCCAGAGGGCCTGTCCCTGTAGCCATGTCCGGTACAAGCCCAAGGCAGGGACCCAAAGAGAGACTTCCTCCACCCCCACAAGCCCAACCTCTGATGCCCCGCTGCTTCGTCGCAGGCTAACGGGGACAGCTGTGCAGCTATCCTGGGAGCTGCGGACGGGCAGGGGCCGGCGGACTACCAGCACACAAGTGCACTTCGGGCAGCTCGAGGTGCTGGAGTGCCTGTGGCCCAGGGACACGTCGGAGCCTGAGTACACAGAGGTGAGGACAGAGCCGGTGTGCACGGCGGAGCCTGCAGCTTCCGGCGGGAGTGGAAGCTCGGCCTGACTTTGGCTTCCTGTGTCCCATCCCAGGTCCTCAGCTTCCCCAGCAGCCTCGGTTCCCAGGCCTCAGCTCGGCCCTGTGCCCACCTGCGTCATACACAGACTCTCCGCCGGGTGTCCAGAGTAACTCACCCCACCCCCTGGCTGTTTCCCACCTCTCAGCCTCCATTAGTACCTCCCTGCTCCCACCCTCCACCACCTTTGCCCTTGCTCAGCCGGAGCGCGCCTCCCCATCTGGGAGCCCTCGGGGGCTGGGCCCTGCACAAGGCATCCTCTGTGCCCGGTTGCCCCTTCCCTGCAAACCCGGCAAACCCGGCAAACCCTCCAAATATGGGGTGGCTTTTATTAAACAAACATGGTCATCCTTCTCAGGCAACGTGCTGAGGCTCTTCAGGTCCTCTGCCCGAGCCTTCCTTCCCACCACCCGGGAGGGCTCTGTGTTTCTTTTCTGCTCAAGGGCGTCCCTTCCCATCCTGCCCTCAACTGCCCCAGAGCCCTTGCTAACCTGAACATCCTCGCCCTCAGAGCCGACCCCGGCGCCCTGCTGCCTGCCATTGCCACTCAGAGCTGGCCCTGGACCTGGCTGACTTCCAGGCGGATGTGGAGCTGGGGGCCCTGGACCGGCTGGCTGCTGTGCTGCGCCTGGCCACCGTACCCCCTCCCGAGCCACCTGCTGGCCTCCTGGTAAGAGACCCGGCTGGGCCAGGGAGCTGGCGCGGACCCTCTGGCTGGAAGCCACAGTGGCAGGGCCCCCGGCAGTGGCTCTGATCCCCCCCACCCCCGCCATCCTCCCGCAGACAGAAGCCCCACCAGCTGCTGAGCAGCAGACGGTGGTGCGGCTGTCGGCTCCCCGGGCCACGCTGCAGCTGCGCTTCCCCATCGCCGACCTGCGGCCCGAGCGGGACCCCTGGGCAGGCCGGGCCGTGCGGGCCGAGCAGCTGCGGCTGGAGCTGAGTGAGCCCCAGTTCCGGTCAGAGCTGAACAGCGGTCCTGGTCCCCCAATCCCCACCCGCCTGGAACTGACCTGCTCCGACCTGCATGGTGAGAGCCCCCCGGGGGACAGTCCCCAGGGCAGGACCTCGGGCCCCTGGGAGAGGTGGGGAAGGGACTGAGGCACGGTCGGGACAGACTCTGGCCCAAGCCTCACCAGCTCTGTGAGGCACCAGCGTTGCCTGTTTCTAGGCTTGCCTGAGAGCGGGCAGAGCGGGCCCTTTGTCGCTGGTCTGCAACAGATTGTGGGTGTGAGGGAGGGCACGGGCCTGTAAATGATAAAGGACAGTCACCGTGGTGGAGGTTCCAGGCCCCCGCAACCTCACCTCCCACGGGGGAAGAAATGGGGAGAGGCAGCCGTGACAACCCCCGCTCCTCCTTATCCTTCCAGGCACTTACGAAGATGGAGAGAAGCCGCCCGTCCCCTGCCTGCGGGTCTCCAAAGCTCTGGATCCCAAGAGCCCCGGGCACAAATACTTCCTGCCCCAGTAAGTGGGGGGCTCTGGAAGGCACGGGCGGGAGAGGAGCACTTGGCTCCTGAGCTGGGATCTGGGGCTCAGGGGGCCTGGCAGGCCAGTGACAGGCCTGTGCCCTGGCAGGATAGCGGTGACGCTGCACCCCCAGCTGAGCAGCGCCCAGTGGGAAGCAGCCCCCGAGAAGGGAGAGGAGCTGGAGCGGTCAGCCGAGAGTCCGTGTGAGCTGCGGGAGCCTGAGCCCTCACCCTTCTCCTCCAAGAGGACCATGTATGAGACGGAGGAGGTAAGGCCCCGAACCCAGGGGAGCCACTTGGTGGCTGTGGGACAGGAGAACAGGACCGCCTGAGGCACCAGGGGATGTGGCCTGGCACCAGCAAGAATGTCATCTATTCCATCATCTTAGACCAGTGGGGAATCAGATCCCCCCGGCTCATGGGGCCTGGGCGTGAGGACACTGGTGAGGGCAGGCCCCAGATGGCACAGGTCATTGATTGGGAAGGTCAGAACCACATCTGTGGACAATGTATGTTTGGACCTCACGATCTTCTCTGGGGCTGCTGAGATTTGAGTGAGAGACAGTAAAGGGACTGGTCTCTGGGCCCCGTGGTCTGGGTTTAAATCTAGGCTCTTCCATTCAGTGGCCTCATCCTCTTGGAACTGGTATAATCTCAGAGTTACACACGGATGAGTTTCCTTGTCTTGAAAGTGGGTACAGTGACCTGTGTCACAGGCTCATCACCATGAGGAGAAAGGAGTTGACTTCCATGAGGTCCTTCCTCATCGCAGGGTTGGCACACGGTCGGCATTCGCACGAGCTGGCTGCCCTCCGTCCCAGCAGAGAGGAGCTCCTATGAATGAATGAGAGTGAGCGAATGAATGATAGGAAGTCAGGGTGCAGCCCGGGGTCTCGTTCCCGAGCCAGCCCAGTCTCTCAGATGCCTCTCCCCGCTCGCCTGTCTAGATGGTGATTCCTGGAGACCCTGAGGAGATGAGGACCTTCCAGAGCCGGGCCCTGGCACTGTCACGTTGCAGCCTAGAAGTGCTCCTGCCCAGCGCCCACATCTTCCTGCCCAGCAAGGAGGTCTATGAGAGTCTGTACAACAGGTGCAAACTCAGGCAGGTGGGGCGGGGGGAGTGTGGGGAGGGGTGGGGCTGGGCCACCCTCACCGCCACTGTCCCTCCACCTGCCCCAGGATCAACAACGACCTGCTCATGTGGGAGCCTGCAGACCTGCTTCCCGCCCCCGCCCCCACCGCTCACCCCCCTGGCTTCCCGGGCCCCTCGGGCTTCTGGCACGACAACTTCAAGATGTGCAAGTCAGCCTTCAAGCTGGGTAGGAGGGACGCCCCAGCTAGGATTCTGAGCTCCCCACCACCCAGAGCTGGGCAGGGCTCGGGCAGCCCTCCCAGGTCTCCTTCCCACTTGGCTCCTTGATCTCACCTCAGACTCGGACTCCGATGAAGAGGATGCCCACTTCTTCTCAGTAGGGGCATCGGGCGCTCCCCAGCCCCCTGCCCCTGAGTCCCCAAGTCCTCGCTCCCAGAGCACCTTCTCGACACTGGTGACTGTGCTGCAGGGTCGGATCACAGCCCTCTGTGAGACTAAGGTGAGGGCAGCCCCAGGGAGGTGAGCCCCGCTGACTCCGGTGCCCCCACCCACCGTTGGCAGGAGAGGAAGACCAGTGTGAGCAGCTCCAGTTTGGGAATCTAGGAAAAAAAAGCCCAGTGTGGCTGAGAGTGGTGTGTCTGGCCAGCAGCACCCACCTGCCACCCACTGACCCACCCATGCCTCCCCAACCATCCCAACACACCCCCGTTGGCCCCTGTTGTACGGAAGGTGTCATGCCAGAGGTCGAGGGGTGGGGTGGCAATGTCTCACACCAGATGGCAGGTAGGGCAAGGATGACTCCCCTTCTGGCGAAAGACAAAAGCGATGGGGTGCTGGGGTGGCTTAGCCTGCTAAGGGTCTGATTCTTGATCATCTCAAGAGCCCCGTATCGGGCTCCACACTGGGCATGGAGTCTGCCCGCCAAAAAAAAGATTCTCTCTACCTCTCCCTCTGCCCCTTGCCACTCTCTAAAGAGAAAAAACAAAACAAAACAAACAAACAAACAAAACAAGTGCTGCTCTGGGATGTCAGCGAATCTGGGTGGAGCCAGAGCCAGTCCTCTGTAGGCAGAATCTGTGGGAGGCCACGCCCCTGGGGGAGGGCCCTGGTGAGGCCACGCCCCATGCTCTGTGTGCAGGACGAGGTTGGGCGGCGGCTGGAGACCTCACATGGGGAGCTGGTGTTGGATGTGGAGCAAGGTACCATCTTCAGTGTCTCCCAGTACCGAGGCCAGCCGGGACTCGGCTACTTCTGCCTGGAAGCGGAGAAGGCAAAGCTCTACCACCGAGGTGTGAAGGGAGGGGACTTGCTGGAGGGCCAAGGGCCCTGGGGTCGGGGGGGCTGCTGGTGAGCCAGCATGGCAGGGAGCTCACCAGCTGCTTCCCCAGCGACTGTGGATGACTCCCGGCTGCCCAGTCGCCTGGATCTGCCCAGCTTTGCCCCTCCGGCCCAGCTGGCCCCAACCATCTACCCGTCGGAGGAAGGGGTGACTGAACGGGGAGCCTCGGGCCTCAGGGGCCAGGGCCGGGGTCCCCACATGCTGTCCACAGCTGTGCGCATCCATCTGGATCCCCACAAGAATGTCAAGGTACAACAGTGCCTGCTTCTGGTCTACCCGCTTGGCTGGGGCTACTGCCTCCTGGTGCCTGGTGGGCTGGGCACCCTGGGCTGACTGTGTCCCACCTCCAGGAGTTCCTGGTGACATTGCGGCTGCACAGGGCCACCCTGCGCCACTTCATGGCTCTTCCAGAACAGAGTTGGCACTCCCAGGTGAGCAAAAGTGGTGTGGGCAGGTGGGTCTCTGGACTTGGAGAGGTGGAGGCCAGTGTGAGGGGCCTGGGCTGGGCCAGAGCTGACCTCCAAGGGAAGGCAAGGGGTATGGTAGCAGGGATGGGCAGCACATGGGGAGCCATCCTGGGGCGGGGGGGTGTGGAAGAGAGGCGGTTAGAGGAAGGAAGAGGTTCCTGATCCTCACCACCCCTCCTGTCCTGACCCCCAAAGCTGTTAGAGTTCTTAGATGTGCTTGATGACCCAGTGCTGGGCTACCTGCCCCCAACCGTCATCACTGTCCTACACACTCACCTATTCTCCTGCGCTGTGGACTACAGGTACCCAGGTTGGGTGGGCCGAGAGGCAGGGGCCGGGGGTAGGCTCTCGATAAGGAGCCCACCCCAGCACATGTGTGACCCACCCCTCCAGGCCCCTCTACCTCCCCGTGCGTGTCCTTGTCACCGCTGAGACCTTCACTCTCTCCAGCAACATCATCATGGACACCTCGACCTTCCTGCTCAGGTACGCACCACCTCCACCCAGCTCACACACACACACCCCAAAACTGGGCTGCAGCTGCTACTCCCCCAGGGTCCTGCCTACCTGCTATGTCTCCTCAGGCCCATCCCTGAGCCTTTCTGTACATTTGGGTGATGATTCCTTGCTCAGGAATGAGAATTGATTCCACCTTCCTGGACGACAGTTGCGCTCCTTGTCAGAGCCTTAAAAGTATTTGTGCTCTCAAACCTGATCGTCTCACAGACATGCTTGTTCTAAGGATACAAGGATAACAGGGGCGGAATGCGATGCCTTTGTTGTATAATTTAAAACTTGTAAATAATCTAAATGCCCCCAAATGACAACTTGAGTCAGTAAATGTGGCTTACCCGACCATTAAAGTCAGGTTGAAGAATGACATTGAAGAACACGAGAGCCATCGTAATGCAGCATGTACTGAAAACCCGAGCTAGAAAGCTCTATGTGGTGGTGGTGTTTTTTAAGATTTATGAAGGTTTATTTGTATACTCTGTGGCTTCACAGAGCAGATAAGAGAAAATGCATAGGGCGCTTTTCTCAGAATTTGGGATTAGAGAATATGATTAGAGATGATTTCTTAGTCCTGTGTTTTAGAACATCTTGAAGGAGCTCGTGTCATGTTTCCATTAAAATAAGGACTGACTTTGAAAGAACAGTGAATGCTGTGGGAGGGTCGGTAAGGGAGCAGGACACTTTCCTCCTGTGGCTGCCGTGAGGCCCAGAGGGGGCGGAGAAGCAGGAGAAACTGGGAGCGTGCCGTCTGCCCTTTGACCTAGGCGAGCTTGCGCTATTTCGGGGCCTGCGGCCCAGGAGACAGACCCAGTGTACAGAGAGGAACACTGAGGCTAGAGGGGACCCAGCGCTAGTTGCTTGTGGGTTTGGGAGCCCCTGTGGCTGCCCCTCTGCCTGTCTCTCGGGGTCCCCGCCCTGTGGCTCCCACAGAGCTGCACCCTGCAGCGGTTCCTGGGCCCTTCTCAGCCCTGTTCCCCACCAGGTTCATCCTCGATGACTCAGCCTTATACCTGTCCGACAAGTGTGAGGTGGAGACCCCGGACCTGCAGCGAGGTGGGCAGGGCCTGGATGGGGCCCCCCTCCCCTCTGAGGGCTCACAGCCCCAGGCCACACCCGGAGCAGCCGGACACCCTCACCCAGCTGCTGGCCGGGTTCTCAGCACCCGCGCACGCCCGCCCGCAAGGGCTGCGCTTAGATCAACGCCCGCTTCTCCGCTCGGGTGCTGGGCCAGGGGCTCAGCATGAAGAAGTGACTGGAACTTCTCTCGCTTTCTGCTGCAGATTATGTCTGTGTCTTGGATGTTGACCTTCTGGAGCTCGTGATTAAAACCTGGAAGGGGAGCACCGAGGGCAAGCTGGTGAGTGTTGCCCAGAGTCCCCCAGAGCCAGAGCGGTTGCAAGGGCTGGGACAGTGAAGCCTCCACGCGGTCACCGTTTCCTCTTGCACCGTCTCCTCCCTTCTGCTCCCTGGGCCTGGGCTCAGGTTCCAGTCACTGCCTGCCCTTCCATGCTGGGCTCTGGGCCAGTCCCCCTGCCAGCAGGGCAGCCCATCATGTGAACCCCCGCACCAGGGGGCAGCTGTGGCCAGGGCCGAAGCAGGGTATCGGGAGTCAGCCGGCCCTGTGGGGCCTGTGTCCTCCCTGGTCAGATGGAGGTAACGGGCTGCACATGGCCAGGCTGAGGGGAGCGACAGAGGACCGGGCCCTGGAACACTGTCACGCAGGGAGGGCACTCCAGCTTCTTTGCATGGCCCTGAGGGAAGCCCCCTCACTCTCTGGGCTCCATTTGCTCCTTCCTTCAGCAGAGGTGCTGGGCAGCAGGCTGCCCAGCCCAGGGAAGACCAGGCCGAGCCCCGTCTGTGTGTGGCGGGGATGAAGCCCAGCCTGATGGCCCCCCGCACCCCGCACCCCTCCCCAGAGCCAGCCGCTGTTCGAGCTGCGTTGCTCCAACAACGTGGTGCGTGTGCACAGCTGCGCGGACTCCTGCGCCCTGCTGGTCAACCTGCTGCAGTACGTGATGAGTGAGGGCGACCTGCACCCCCCGCCCCGGCCCCCCAGCCCCACGGAGATCGCCGGCCAGAAGGTACAGGTGAGGCCTGGCCCTGCCAGCTCCGGGAACTCCCCCAGCACCCTGGCATCAGAGGAGGAGGAGGCGGCACCCCTCCTTTTGTCACTCATTCACCCTACCCCTCCCCCGCCTGGCCCAGCTCTCCGAGAGCCCTGCCTCCCTACCCTCCTGTCCCCCAGTGGAGACAGCCCTCATCAACCAGCGGGACTTGGCTGACGCCCTCTTGGACACTGAGCGCAGCTTACGGGAGCTGACCCAGCCTTCAGGTGCGGTGCGGGGGTGCTCTGGGGCCAGAGGACAATCAGGCACCCAAATCAGCCATCCCCTCCAAAACTGGCATCTCGCTCCACAGGTGGCCCCCTCCCTCAGGCCTCGCCCGTGTCAGTCTACCTCTTCCCAGGTGAACGGAGCGGGGCCCAGCCCCACTTGCCCCCCGTCGTGGCCCCTGCCAGCAGCTTGGGGTCCCGCTCAGAGGCCAAGGAAGATGAAAAGGAAGACGGAGATGGAGACACTCTGGACAGTGATGAGTTCTGCATCCTTGACGCTCCGGGCCTCGGCATCCCGGTGTGTGTGTGGGGCGGGCTGGGCAGGGCCAGGAAGTGGTAGGAGACGGTGGCTTCCTTCTGCACCCTTGTAGAGCTCCTGCTGCTGGAGGGGTAGGAGGTGGTCTCCGCCACTGGGGAGGCGGGTCTGGGTCCCTGACAGTCCCTCTGAACTCTGGGTCTTGAGGGAGCAAGTGGATTTCCAGAGGAAGAGAGAAAGAATGACATGCGGGGCCAAGGACAGGACATCAAGGGAAGGGAGGAAGAGGAGCTGGGTAGTTTGCAGGAGGGGGGAAACCATCTGACTGGTGGGGTGCTGACTGGCTGGTCCCCAGGAGCCAATGGGAATGTCACATGCAAGCGAGACCCAGGCCCAGGGTTGGCAAGAGCACGGGGCACTTGGGTCCCCCCCGCACTGGCCCCCAGGACAGAGCACTCTGACACAGCTTCTGGGGATGGTGACCCAGGAGAGTCACCTTTTGTCCAAAACGGGGGGAGGTATGAGGATGGGGCGGAAGTTGGGAGAGGGTGGCCAGGACTGGGGAAGGTGTCTGTGCACATACATTGACTCACCACCCCCCCCGCCTACAGCCCCGAGATGGGGAGCCCGTGGTGACACAGCTGCATCCTGGCCCCATCATCGTGCAGGACGGGTACTTCTCCCGGCCCCTGGGCAGCACGGACCTGCTGCGGGCGCCTGCCCACTTCCCTGTGCCCAGCAGCCGCGTGGTGCTCCGGGAGGTCTCGCTCGTCTGGCACCTCTATGGCGGCCGGGACTTTGGCCCCCACCCTGGCCACAGGTGAGAAGGACGGGTGCAGGCAGCCGCTAGGGCCATGGGGCCCACCTGGCCAGGGGATGGGGCCTGGGCTGGAGGTCAGCTCTGACCTTCAGCAGCTGACAATCTTAAGCCGTGTCCTTGACTCAGTGGCCTCTGTTCTTTCTCCTTCCTTGCCCCCCACCCCCACCCCCGGGGCTGAGGCCAAAGAGGGCTTCCTGCCCCGGGCTGAAGGGCCCGCTCTGACGGGAAGGGAGTCCCTCCGAGTCAGCTTGTGCCCTGTCCCTTTTCCAGGGCAAGAGGCAGCTTCATGGGCCCTAGGGGCTCCCCTTCCCGCTGCTCCGGTCCCAACCGGCCCCAGAACTCCTGGCGTACGCAGGGGGGCAGTGGGAGGCAGCACCACGTCCTCATGGAGATCCAGCTCAGCAAGGTGAGCTGGGGGCTCAGTATAGAAAGCCACCTGGATGGGGGACAGGCCCGCCATGCCATCCCTGGCACCCAGCCAGCCCTCCACCACGGCCACTTAGCTCCAGGTCCCTGGTCAGGAACCATGTCCCCGAGTGTTTGCAGAGCGCATCCATGCCACTCCCCAGGTGCTGTTCTAGACGTTGGAGGGAGCAGTGAGCACGGCGGAAAGAAGCCCCGCTTCCCTGTCCCATGTGTGGTAGTGGAGGGAGCCACGGATTTGTGGATCTGTACGGTGCAGCAGGAGATAAATGTTTGGGGAAGGCGAGCCAGGGCGGGGAGCAGGGAGCGCAGGGAGGAGCAGCACGTCTTCTTGAGAAGGTGTCGTTGGCACGAAGACCTGCCGGAGGGGGCGGGTTGAGGGTGTCAGCATGAGGGCCACGGGCCGCGAGCATCTCCACTGTGTGTGGAGGCATGTGGCCAGCAGGACCGCAGCCGGGCCAGGATGGTGGCCGTGGGGGCCGTGGGTCTGACCAGGAGCCAGGCGGCCTATGGCCCCGCAGACCACAGGACGGTTTTGGATTTTACCAGAATGAGATGCAGTCAGCAGGAGACGGTGGCCGAGCAGGGAGGGTAGGGGCAGCCACAGATCCGGGGACAACGGTCCATTTCTGGAAATACTTGGTTGGGGAGGAACCACAGGCTGGGTGGGCTGCCAGGCTGACCTGAGGTGGGGTGAGCGGAGGTCCTGCTTCCTGAGGGCGAGCCCGTGCGAGCCTTCTCCCCAGCACACGGGGCTGTCGTGCCGGGAAAACTCGGGGGCTCCCTGCAGCCAGTGGGGCTGGGGAGCCAGCACTGGGTGTAGGGGAGAGGGAAGGCCAGGGCCAAGTTCCAAAGACGAGAAAGGCCTTGAGCCATTTGAGGTACGAGAGAGAGGCCAGTGGGGCTGGCGTGTCCAGGCCCCACGGGGGTGTTTGCAGGGCGCAAGGTAGGTGGGTGGTGCTGGATGAAGGTCCCTCTGGCTGAGTGGAGAAGGGGCCGAGGGGCCCAGGCGGGAGGCTGTCCCGGGCTGGGGGGGCAGTGGCCACCAGGCCAGGGGGCAGGAGTGAAGAGCGACACAGGTGCGAGGAGACTGGAGAGATGTGCCAAGGAGTGAAACTGTGGCTAGTGATGGAGAGGCTGGAGGGTGGTGCTGGTGCTTGGTGACAGGCACACGGGGGCCTCTTAGGTGATAGGAAGGGACTGGGAGCAAGTAGCTTCACGGGAGAGCTTCAGGTCAAGAACTCAGCATGCCAAGTGGAGTTTGAAATGCCCTTGGAACGACCATGGGGAGGCAGCCCGGTGCGGGGCTGAGGTGGGGCTGGGGGCCAGAAGGGTGGCTGGGAGAGGCAGAGTGCTGCCTCCCTGGCTCAGGTCTCCGTCGGCCTCACAGGTCAGCTTCCAGCATGAGGTGTACCCGGCGGAGCCCACCTCGGGCCCTGCAGCCCCCAGCCAGGAGCCAGAGGAGCGGCCGCTGTCCCGCCAGGTGTTCATTGTGCAGGAGCTGGAGGTCCGAGACCGGCTGGCCTCCTCCCAGATCAACAAGTTCTTGTACCTGCACACGAGCGAGCGGATGCCCCGTCGCGCCCACTCCAACATGGTACCGGCCACCCCCGCTGGCCACCCTGGGCAGAGCCTGGGGGTTTGGGGGGCCCGGGAGAATCCCAGGGCTCAGGCGGGCCCAGCCGGGGGCACAGCGTGTGCAGATGCAGCCACGGCTGAGCACAGGGTGGGGGCCAGGGCCCAGAGCCCGGCAGGTACCCAGAGCTTGCCCTCTGCCCCCCAGCTCACCATCAAAGCGCTGCACGTGGCCCCCGCCACCCACCCGGGTGGACCCGAGTGCTGTCTCCGAGTCTCGCTGATGCCCCTGCGGCTCAACGTGGACCAGGTGAGCAGGCCAGGCGGGGCAGGTCCTGCGGTGAGCCCCACGGCCGCTGGGCCTCCCTGACCCGTATCTTCCCCCGGCAGGACGCCCTGTTCTTCCTCAAGGACTTCTTCACCAGCTTGGCGGCTGGCATCAACCCTGTGGTCTCAGCAGAGACGTCCGCGGAGGGTGAGAGGCTGAGCTGGGAGGGGAGAGCCCAGGCCCCCCACCTCCCCCTCCCAGCCAGCCCTGGGTCCACCCCCCATCGGTGTCCCCCACCCTAGCTCGCTCCGAGACCCGAGTCCAGCCCAGCAGTGTCCAGGAAGGCCTGCCTGAGGACGCAGAGATGACCGGCTCCCGGGAGGCGGCGGGCGGTGGGCACAGCTGCTCAGCCGAGCAGCAGCCCATCTACTTCAGGTAGCGTGGAGGGCTGGGGGTCCTCGCCCGGGCTGCGGGGGGCAGGGGCGGGAACCAAGCCCGCTCTCCCTACACCCCCCAGGGAGTTCCGCTTCACGTCCGAGGTGCCCATCTGGTTGGATTACCACGGCAAGCACGTCACCATGGACCAGGTGGTAAGTGGGGCTGTCCCACGGAGTGGCCGTGTGGGCCATCCCTCTCGGGGGTCCCCATTCTGCCCAGGTGTGGCCGGGGCCTACATCCAGGCTGTTCTGGCGGCTGAGTCGGTCCCCAGGGCCACCGATGCGCTGGGTGGCGCCCTGTACTGAACTGCGTCCCCCCGAATCCCTTCTCCTTCCCCAGGGCACGTTCGCCGGCCTCCTCATCGGCCTGGCCCAGCTCAACTGCTCCGAGCTGAAGCTGAAGCGGCTCTGTTGCCGACATGGGTGAGCCCCCATCCCCTCCAGCACCCCCAGCCTCCCTTCAGGGTCCCCCGTCTTACCCTGCCGCATCCTGACAGGTTACGTGGCCTTGGCCAAGCCATTACTCCTCTGGAGTCTCAGTTTTCGCTCTGTAAAGTGGGCACAGTCATCCTTTGCACTGGGCTGGGCGGCTGCTGGGGAGAGTGTGGGGGTACCTCAGGCCCTGGTACCTCAGGCCCTGGCCCTCCGTGTGGGGCTGTGCCTCCAGACCCTCCTCTCCTCTCCCCTTCCCAGACTGCTGGGTGTGGACAAGGTGCTGGGCTACGCTCTCAACGAGTGGCTGCAGGACATCCGGAAGAACCAGCTGCCCGGCCTGCTGGGGGGTGTGGGCCCCATGCACTCGGTGGTCCAGCTCTGTGAGTGGTGGCTGTGGGGGCCCTGGGAATGGCTCTGACTCTGGGGCGGCCTAGACGCTGCCCCGGGAGGAGAGGGAGGAGGTCCTAAACCAGGGTGGGCACGGGCTGCACAGCCTCAGGCATGTCTGACCGACCCCATGCCTGCAGTCCAGGGGTTCCGGGACCTGCTTTGGCTGCCCATCGAGCAGTACAGAAAGGATGGGCGCCTCATGCGGGGGCTGCAGCGGGGGGCCGCCTCCTTTGGCTCATCCACGGCCTCGGCCGCCCTGGAACTCAGCAACCGGCTGGTGCAGGCTATCCAGGTGAGCGGGCTGGTGCTTCCAGGCCGGGTAGGGCAGAGCGGATCTGCCCCAGGGCGCCCGATCAGTCCCCAAAGTGCTACTGAGGATGGCAGGTCTGGGGGCGCGGTCTCGTTCTCTGAGACACAGTCTTGCACGGGGGAGGCCCAGTGACTCCCACAGCAAGCCCTAAGAGTGTGGGCGCCCTGCAGCCTCCCGTGTCTGCTCCTGGCCAGCTCCTGGAGAGGAGGGAGGGGGCTGTGGCTCTGTTTACAGACAGGAAAACTGAGGCACAGACCGGCCCTCGCTCATTCAAGCCCTGGACATTGCCAGGCCCAAAGACAGACCCCCGGGGAGGCGCGGGAGTCCTGCGAGCGGCTGTGGTTCAGTGCCCTGAACCCTAGTAGGAGGGCGAGGAGGGGCAGGCCTCTGTGCAGCAGTCACGGCCGATGAGCGTGCAGATGATGGGGAGCTCAGTGCTTTCTGGGATCTGCACGCACAGCCCCCTGTAGGCCGGGGCAAGATGTCCAGCCAGAGGCTGGAAGGAGAAGCAGGCCCCAGAGAGGCCCCCAGATGGGGCAGGGGTCCACGTGTGGCGGTCCACCCGAGGAGGGCTGGGGGTCCAGAGGACTTGAGGACGATCCCCTCAGGAGGCATGCCCTCCACCTGAAGTCCCCCCCGACCCGGGTGCTGGAAGCATCGGCAGGACCCCCAGGAGCAGCACCATAAAGCAGGGCCAAGGGACAGGCGGAAGCGTGATGCCCGCCCACCCCTACCCCGGGCTGGCCCGGGGTTCCACATGCTTCTCTGGGGCTGGCCCGGGGGCCTCAGGGCTGGGGGTGTGTGCCTGGGCTGGCTCCTCATCTGGTGCCCTCCGTGTCCCCTCAGGCCACAGCTGAGACTGTGTACGACATCCTGTCCCCAGCCGCGCCCATCCCCCGCTCCCTGCAGGACAAGCGCTCAGTGCGGAGGCTACGAAAGGGCCACCAGCCCGCTGACCTCCGGGAGGGTGTGGCAAAGGCTTATGACACCGTTCGAGAGGTGATAAGACCCTGTCCTCCTCCCAGTCCCACGCCCACTTCCTCACCCCCCATCCCCCAGTGGCTGACTTCCCGACTTCCGCAGGGCATCCTGGACACGGCTCAGACCATCTGTGATGTGGCCTCCCGGGGGCACGAGCAGAAGGGGCTGACAGGCGCCGTGGGGGGCGTGATCCGCCAGCTGCCCCCCACTGTGGTGAAGCCCCTCATTCTCGCCACGGAGGCCACGTCCAGTCTACTTGGGGGCATGCGAAACCAGATCCTTCCCGACGCACACAAGGACCACGCTCTCAAGTGGCGTGCGGACGAAGGCCAAGACTGAGCACTGGGCGCCGAGGACGCCGGGCGCTGCTGCCCTCCTCGCCCAGCCAGCCCCAGGGCCATCGTGGCTCCTGCGCCTCCCCAGAGCTTTTTCGGTCCATAGCCGGGCAAGCCCTCAGGGGAAGGCTCTGGAAGGACTCTGCCTGGCCCGCCTGCCAATCGCTGTGAGAATGAGGCCTCCCTGCCTGGGGCTCAGCCCCGTCTCTGCACTTTTCCTCTGGGGAGAAAGGACACTGCCTCCACCACTACCTGGGCCCACATTGCCGCCTTGTCCCAGGACGGAGGCCTTTGGACCCTCAGACCCCAACCCCGCTCAGCCAAGTGTCTTTCTGTGTCTGGGGGGAAGTAGGGGACAGACACTGTGGTTCAATGTATTTTTAAGCTCCTTGAACGTGTGGGTCCGTGTCTGCATGACGTGGAATAAACTGCACCCACCGCCGGCCCCCTTGTCCTGTGTGCCGGCGCTGCCCCAGCCTCAGCCTTGACCTTGGCCCATACCCAGATCCCCACCTCTGCCCCCAGGACCTCCCCTGTTACCAGCAGGGGTCACCACACCTTCCCAGCAGGTTCAAACTGGCCCCAGCTACCTGTCCGCCCCCACAGTCCTTCCCCCCAACTGTCTCTGCCCTGTGCTCCTCGCCATCGGCCCTGCTTCTGTGTGGCAGGAGCCCAGGGCAGCGGGAAAGAGGAGGCCTGGAGCCCACCTCACCCAGACCATGTTTCTTGCCTCCAGCCCTGCAAGAGCCCAGGATCTAGCCTTACCTAGGGCCTGGGTGAGGGGACAGCTGGGAGGACACTGAGCTGGAGCAAAGGGTCAGGCTGTGGGGTGCCCCAAGAAGTTTCAGACCCTGACCATGTATTCTGAGGCTGCGCCCTTGGCTCTTGAGTTTCGGGTCCCTCCTGGTAATCCCTATCCACAACCAGCATGGTCAGTCAAGGCCATTCCTAGAAGGCTGCGCCCTCTGGAGGCTGCTCTGGCCATCCCTAGCAGATGGCTTTTTTGATGACTCAAGCCCCTCCCTGGGGTCCCAGCTCCAGGGCAGTAGAGGGGAGGGGCACGGGGGCAGCACAGGCTAGCAGGGCTCCTGACGGACCTTTGCATAGAGACTTACATGGGGTGGGGAAAATAACCATCGTAAACCGCTCCCCCGCCCCCTCCCACATATACCTTGTTGCTTCCGAACAAGAAGGAGCTACTCTGATCATACCCCACCACGGTTCCCCCACGAGCACTGCACGGAAGCAGGTGGGCCTGTGGGGAAACTGAGGCTCAGGTTAAGAGGCACAGTCTTAGAGAACCCTCACTTGCTATCTGCAGACCTCTTGGTGAGCAAAGGTCCCCCAAGTCCCCTCTGGGTCCTTGCTGTCCCCTTTGTGTTGGCACCAAATGAACAGAGCAGAAGTTCTGTCCATGGTCACCGGGGCCAGTAAGCCGAAATGAGGGGGAGGGGGTCTGATGCCACCAGAAGGGTTGGATGGGGGCCCAGCCTGATGCTTCCTAGAAGTGCCCCACCCTGCCTGGGCACAGTCCAGGCTTCCATGCCCTTCGAACCACACTTGCCATCCGTATTGACAGGCGGAAGGATAATCATTAACCACCGCCAGGGGCTGGGCCAACGGCTCAAAAGGCACAGGGCCCAGGGCGTCCCCACTTCCTCCTTGCGCCCGAGGGCAAGCCAGGCACCCAGGTAAGAGCCTGCCCCAGGCGGTCAGACCCCTACAGCCCCTTGGCCCCAGGGCTCTCCTGAGCCCTGCCACTGCTGCAGGGGACCCAGCCCTTCTGAGGAAAAAAGGGAAGGGCCAAGGCAGCTGCTGGGTGACCTAAGCAAGTCCCTTCTGGCCCTGGGCCTCCATTTCCACCTGTGAGATGAGGGGGTCAGGACTTCCGCTTGGGGGGCCACCGCTACTGCCTCCACCAAGCCTGGCGCTTGGCCTCGCCTGGGTGTCTTCGGGAGGCCCTTCTGGGCTTTGGCGGGTGGGCGGTGTCACCTGCTATGGTGTCTTCATTCACAGGCCTGTCCTCCCAGGCAACGGACTCCTGCCCGGGGACCTCCCATCCTACCTTGACTGCATCCCAAGAGGAAGGAGGCCACTTCAGCGAAGTCGCCAGATGGGACGGACCTCAAGGCCGGGCTCCGTGACCTTGGGCAGCTTCCTTTGCCTCTTTGGGTGTTTCCACTGCCGTGAGAAGGGGGCATGGCCCAAGTCCACTCTCAAGGCTCAGAATCTCAGGTCCCCCTCCTCTCTAGAAGTTTTGGGTTCTCTCCAAAATGTCCCCTAGGTGGGGAGGACTGGCACTGGAACCTGTCACTGAAACCTCTTGGGCCAGATCCTGTCTGGGGGACGGGAGGGGGGGTGAGAACACACCTCGCAGGAGAAAAGTCTGCTCTCCTGGGGGTCCTGGTCTAGCTCAGGGACCACAGCAAGCAGCCCCTTCCACTCCCCACAGCAGGGGTGGAACCAGAGCTTGATGGGAGGGTGGCCTTGGGAGTGTGGCTTCCCACCAGGCGAGGCCAGAGGGCAGCAGGATCTCACAAGGCCTGATTTGCATGTGAGGAAACAGCAGCGGCTCTGAGAGGTTAAGCCACGTGCTCAAGGTCACCCAGCTCCCAGACCCCTGCTGGCTCTCAGGCCACTGAGGTGCTAAGCCTTCTTCTAGACAGCGATTGCTGACAGCTCTGTTCTTAGCATTCTGCCAGTTGGGTTAGCGTCTTTTCACGTTCCCTGTTCTCCCCCTCCCTCCCCCCTGGCCTTTCTCAGTCCCTTTTTGCTCTGTTCCTTTTTAGTTCCCTCCTGTTCCACACCTGCCTCTCTCTTGGCCTCTTGGCCTTATTCTCCTACTTTCTGGCTCCCCGCCCCTCTCAGTCTTGCCTCCAGCTTCTCATCTGGGGCCATCCCTAGGAATCTGGGCAGTCGGCGGTCCCTGGAGACTGACAGATGCCCAGGTGTCCCTCACTGTCCCTCGACCCTGTGGCCGTGGCAGGAAGGGTGGGCAAAGGGCAGAGGGTGGAGGCCGCCGTGGCCCAACCTGGAACTGAGGCCCGGCGCTGGCTGGGAAAGAAAGGAGGAAACAAGGAACTTGGGGACAGAGGGCGTGGGGGTGGCCCAGTGGGCAAAGGCTGCCCAGGAGCTGTAAATCGGAGCCACTCCCGGCTTTATGAGCCCAGCCGGGGCTGAGCCTGGACTTCGCCCGGAGGAGGAGGGCTGGTGTGGGGCCTCCAGGTGTGGGCCCAGATGATAAGGAGCCTCAATAAAAAGACCATGGGCCTGCGGTCATGAGGACCCAGGCAGCCCTGACAGGTGGCATTCTGCCCGGGGGGAGCTGCCAGGCAGGCGGGGCCCCGGCCTCCAGTAGGCTCCCACCCCCTGTAACAGCAACTCCATGTGGAAGTGCCCACTGGTTCCAGTGGGGCTGCTGTTATCGGGGACGGGGGCCAGTACCCACGGAGGAGGGGAGCCGGCTGCTGCCCAGCAGACCACCAGGGACCTCCCTGGCCTCGCTCCCAGGCCCAGGATGGCCAAGGGCAGTGGGCCGTCCGCGGGCCGCCGAGACCGAGTGCACAGGGCTCTGACCTATGAATTGACAGCCAGTGCTCTCATCTCCCCTCTGGCTGCCAATTCCATAGGTCATAGGTATGTTCGCCTCAATGCCAGCCGCCAGGACCTGTGGGGGAAGGGATGGGGCTGGGGGTTCTCTAGGGCAATGAGGACTTGCTACCCTAATGCAGCACTCAGGCCAAACTCCCTCCTGTCTTTTTCCTACCTTTCCATTTCCCCTCCTGGGAGACTTCACTGCTTTAGGTCCCCAGTTACATATGGACTGTTTGTGGCAAGCCTCTGTGCCTTACCCATGTTGTTCCCTCTGCCTGGAATACCCTTCCAGATTTTTTTTTTTTTGGCCAGGTTCACCCTTACTAACTGTTCCAAGCTCTGCCCAAGCATTTGCTGCCTCCAGGAAGCCTTCCTGAAGCCTACCCACTTGATCCCAACTGCCCACCTGGGCTCCCCTAGCACCCTCCACTTCTCTAGAGGACTGAACTCCCCCAGGGTTTCTATCCTCCCCATCACCTGGGAGCTCAGCTCCCAGCCCAGGCCAGGCCCAGGTGTGTGCTCAATAAATGTCTGAACAGATCCTAAGCCTTCGTCTTGCACCCCAAGGGAGCACCACCCATGTCCCATGTGGCCAAGAGAGGCCAAGGGCTCTGGGCCCCGGTCTGTGTTGGAGCTCCGCCCAGGACAAGGACACAGAGCGGCCTCCCTCCTCTCTCTTGGATCCCCAACCCCGCAGGCTCCCCCCTTCCAGCCACCAGCAGTGGTGTATACCCTAGTGGGGCCAGACCCACTAGGGTTCAGACGCAGTCCCTCCACCAGCTTACCCAGCCCCTGCGCCAGCTTCCCGCACAGCCTCACTCCTGCCTGGCTTTGATACGAGGCAGTTCTGGAGACATTCTCATTTGAATAAAAAGGCTTCTGCTGCTAAAAGATACACTTTTCAAAACTGGAAACACACACCTAAGAATAAAGTTCGAGTTGCATAATAACAGGAGCCGTTTCTTGTGCCTCTCCGTGCACTGAGCGCCTGTGCAGGTCAGTCACCTGGGGTCAGCTCGACGACCTTGCAAAGCTGCCGTCATGAGCCTGTTCCAGAGGTGAAGACACAGACTCAGAGGAGGCACATCTTGCTGAAGCCACACAGCAGGGGCGCCTGGGTGGCTCAGTCGGTTAACATCTGCCTTCGCCTCAGGTCATGATCCCAGAGTCCTGGGATAGAGTTCCTCATCGGGCTCCCCGCTCAGTGGGGAGTCTGATTCTCCCTCTCCCTCTGCTGCTCCCCCTACTTGTGCTCTCTCATGCTCTCGCTCTCTCTCCCTATCAGATAAATAAATATGAATAAATAAATACGAATAAATAAATAAATATTTTTATTTTTTTAAAGATTTTATTTATTTACTTGACAGAGAACACAAGTAGGCAGAGAGGCAGGCAGAGAGAGAGGAGGAAGCAGGCTGCCCGCTGAGCAGAGAGCCTGATGCGGGGCTCAATCCCAGGACCCCGGGATCATGACCTGAGCCGAAGGCAGAGGCTTTAACCCACTGGGCCACCCAGGTGCCCCATAAATAAGATTTTTTAAAAAATAATATGGGCACAGAGTAGTTGAACCTTCTCTCTCCACGGACTAGGCAGCAGGCAAGCATCTAGGCACCCTCTATTGGCACTTACGACGGTCACTTTTCCCAGGGTGGCTTTGCTTGCGGGGGCCCTATCTGCTTCGGCTCCCTGGACCCCCATCTCTACCGAGCTCAGCGGTCCCTCCAGTGACTGCAGGAGCTGCTCCCCTCTACGGCACCGGGGGCTCTGTGGGCCTCTCCCACCAGCCCCTTGTCCTACTCCCGCAGGGTTGAGAGCTCTGTGCACTTATCTCACCCCAGCTCTGGTCTGAG